ATTTCACTAATAGCTTTAAGCTCCTCCTGCCTCTCCTGGTTCCTGTAAGAGTCATTTAGCTAAGTTCGATAGTTTCCACTTCCCTGGTCAGCGCCTCCTTTCGTGTATCAGATATTCTAGCACTCCTGAGGAGCTCAGTGACTCTTCGTCGTCTTCTGTAGAGGGAGCGTCTTTTTCTCTCCAGTTTACTCCTGCTCTTCTTCTTTCTTAGAGGAATATGCCTAGAACATGCTTCGGCTACCAGGAAGTTGATCCTTTCAAGGCACTGGTTTGGATCCATGTCATTTAAGACATCTTCCCAACATGTTTCGTTTAGGACATGGTTTACCTGGTCCCAGTTGATGTTCTTGTTGTTGAAATTGTATTTTGTGAAGACACCTTCACAGGTACATGCATTCTGCTGTTCAGGACCCCTATGCATGTACGTCTGGACTTCGATTAGATTGTGATCGGAATTAGTTGTTTTTGATATTCTTGTCTCTTATCAGGTCCTCATTATTTGTGAAGATAAGGTCAAGTGTGTTTTCTAGTCTTGTTGGCTCCACTATCTGCTGGCTTAAGGTGTGTTTTTCGCAGAGACTTAGTAGCTCATGTGTGTGTGACCTTTCATCTGCGCTACCTCCGGGGATTGTTTCAGCTATAACATTATTTGCTACATTCTTCCATTTTGTATGCTTAGGTTGAAATCACCAAGCAGTAAGATGTTTGGGGATGGAGCTGGAAGGTTTTCCAAACAGTAATCGATTTTCAGTAGCTGTTCCTTGAACTGTTGTGAGGTTGCATCTGGTGGCTTGTATACAACCACAATGACTAGGTTTTGGTTCTCGATCTTTATTGATAGAACTTCAACTACCTCATTTGTGGTGTTCAGCAACTCCGTGCAGATAAGGGACTCTTTGACATACAGGCCAACCCCGCCTTGTTGCCTGTTTTTTCTGTCGCATCTAAAAAGGTTGTAACCACTTATCCATATTTCACTGTCAAAGTGATCTTTTGTGTGAGTCTCTGTGAAGGCTGCAAACATTGCATTAGACTCCACTAGAAGTCCACTGATAAAAGGTATTTTGTTGTTGGTGGATGGCTTAAGGCCCTGTATATTAGCAAATATGAACGAGGTTGTATTCTGTGTTTGTTGGGGGGATTTTGTTATTGGCATCAGTAGTTGTAATTCTGGAGGGCCATGGGTGGCCACTGGCTGCGCCTCCAGTCCAACAAGGCTCCAAGGTGGGTAGACCACTGCCACATGCCACAATTTAGGATACATGATTGTATTTATAACTATGACCCTCTGATGGATCATCAGCCCACTCGACCATATGCCCCTCAACTTCCTCTTATGGAATTGGCCTCTCTGGCTTCCTGCCCTGCCCTTCTGTATAATATCCCACAGACTTTAATCTGGTCTACCACCTGCCAACCATACTTTTGTCCCAGGTTCCTTCCTACCCACGTACCAACCTTTATCAATTTAGACTTAACTCCATTAAAACACATTCCTGTTGCCCCACTAAATATCTCAACGATGCGACCTACATTTCTTAATCCCTCCTCTCCCCTTACTAAAACCGTCGTGTCGTCAACATATCCAACTGTACCAGTAGCACCCCGATGCCTTACCCCCCCTTCACCCACTCCCAACATTAATCATCCTATATAGAGGATCTTGCAGACATGCAAATAGGATCCGAGACATGGGGCATCCCTGTCTCAGTCCCCTACCTATACTAACTACCTTCCCCACCCGTCCATCGATTTGCGCCCATATTTCTACGCCTTTGTATAATGTTTCCACCCATCGGACAATTTCCTCACCAAAACTCATGCGCCTCGTTATCATCCACAACGTCTCTCGCTCTACGCAATCATAAGCCACCTTCCAATCCAAAGCAAGTACACCCCCTCCACCCTTCCTATGATCATCTATGTAGTTCTTTACCCTCCCATGTCCACTAAACACTGACCGCCCCGGCACACCCTTTTGTCCCTTATCTATAACCCTCCCAATAACACTGCATAACCTATTACCTAAAACCCTTGAAAACAATTTATAATCACTATACATTAAACATAAACCCCTATAATCTAGGATGCTATTCTGCACTTCACCCTTCAGAATCATGACAATGACCCCTGTTCGTTGTGTCATACCTATACATCCCTTTACCTTCATTTCATTCAATAAAGGCACCAAGCATTCTTTGAGGACCTCCCAGTAACTTAAAATAAAAATCATTTGGAATGCCATCAATCTCAGGTGTATTCCCTACACTCATCCCCTGTAATGCCTTTAACACCTCTTCTTCACTTATGGGCCCCTCTATCTCCACCCTGTCTTCTGATTCCAGGGTTCATGGTGTCCCTCTCTCCAAAATATGTAAGTCCCCCATCTTCCTATTACCCCCTCTCATATATATCTCAAACAATTTATCCACAAAACCACTCATACCTTCAGTCGTTACTAAACACTGACCCACCATTTACCCATCCACGCCCTGATGTACTTCCAACCCACCCCTTAATCTCTCACCATCAAACCGTACATTCTGCATCTCCAGCAATTGCACCTTAATACCCTCAATCTCCGAAACCGGATATACTCCACGACAACCTTCATTACACTGTTTTAACTGCCCCTCCAAAAACCTCTGTAATCCATATTTCCACTGCCCGACCTACCTTCCTTTCCTCATATAAAAACTACGGATTCCCAGCTTAGCACATTGTTCCCACCACACTAATATATCACCCCCCAGCTTTCCTTTATTCCATTCATTTTTCCACCATTCTGCAAAACTAAGTCCACCCTCCACATCCTCAACTAAGCTCACATTTAGTTTCCAATAACTCATAAAACGTTTCGGCAACTCACTCCAACCCACTTCCACAACCACCCTTCAATGATCCGAAAATACAACATTTACACTTTCCATAATATTAACTTGTATCCCAGGAGAGACATAAATGCATTCCAAGTGTGCCACATAACCATTCCTCACATAAGTATGCTCCACCACCCACCCCTCCCCACTCACTACATCCACTAAGCCGACTCCCCCTAATACATCTCGTAGTACCCCTAACACACACCCAGCTGCTCTCGGCTCCACATCCTTCCTACGTATCACACAATTCCAATCCCCCCAAATAATGTATAAACAGGAAGTCCTCGCATATGAAAAATAAGAAGATCCCTCACAAAATCTTCTTTAATGTGCCTATTGCTATCTGCAGACATATAAACACTTACGAAACATACACAAATCCCACCCCATGTTCCATACACCCTTGCTAGTCTCCCTTCCACCCCTTCTTCCCAATGTAACATTTGAAATGGACTGGTCTCCACTATTAAAACAGCAGCACCTCCCCTTTAGTTTTCCTGTATACCTAGCATAAACTTTGAACCCGTCAACCAAAAGATCCCAACCAAACTTACAATTATGCTCTTGTAAAAAGATGACCTGTACCTTATATCGCCTTAAAAAGGCACTGAACATCCTTCTCTTCAATTCGACCCTTAGGCCGTTTATATTCAATGTTTAGCACTTAAAAATGCTATCGGGAGCTTACCAATCGATCTCTTACCATGTGTTTCTTTACCTATTTGTTCAATACATTTTTCACTATGTCCGGTCCTAGTCACATCTTTCCCCTTCCCCTTTCCCCCTCCTCACCGTTACTTTCCTAGCCACATCCACTGAGTGCTTTTTACCCGATCGTTGTATGGGTATAAGGATATCGTCCGAGGCAACTGCCTCCCTCTTATGTGAAGCCTCAACAGTGACCATTTCCTCATTCAGACTGCCTTCCTTGTGAATTTCAACAACAGTTTCACAAAGCCCATGTGGTTGCCCATCCCTTCTACCCTCATTCCGTCCCTCATAAACTCCTCCATGATCCATATGTTGCCCATCCAAGCCTATTTTCAGCGTTCCATCTTCATGCTGATCACCCAAAAATTCCTGTATAACATTGTTTATGGCATCCGACACTTCACTACCCAAATCCACTTGTCCTATCTCTTCCTCCATGCATATTTTCTCAACGTCCTGTGTCACCTCCGGTAATGTAACACATGCCACTGGATTGTCATCCACAATCTCACTCCACGTCCTATGCTCTCGATGATGCTCTCCTGTAGATTTGGACATCACCAATCTCTCCTTTTCCACTCCTGTCCCTGCTCCCTGTGCCCCGGTCGACGAACGTTGTGGACACTGTGCAGCCACATGATCAAATGCACCACACAGTCGACAGGTTCTCCTTTGCCCGGCATGTGTGATATATACCTGAGTTTTAAAATCACTCAAAAACACAAATGACGGTATGGATCGCCGCAAGGACATTTTGAGGGTGAAAGATCCCTCCCGCAGTCCTGCATACATACCATTGGACCGGACCACCTTCCAATCTGTCATCTTCATCCACCTCAAAGGGGACATTCCATAATTTTACCCAAGTATAATACTTAGATACGTCCCTCAATCACATTTCAAAACCAGAGTTAACCGTCATACACACATCCTGGTACTGGTCAACCCTCTTGACATACGTCATAGTCGTTACGAATTTCACGAATATCCTCGTTGAACCATTTAAGGCAATGCCGTACAAATCTTCGTTGTTGATTCCATATGTATCTCTAAAGATAGCAGGTAGTAGAACGGATGCATTTGTGTTATACCCCGCACCCTTCAGCACCTCTATGCACATAGTGTTGACTCGTCTCCTGACAGCCTGTGCCATCTTGAGAAAATCTCGCAGTGCTACCAACAAGCAGAAGCACAACAGCCAACGTCCGCTTTCCACCAAGGGTGCGTGACGAATGCAAGAGCTAAGTTGTTGCACAACCTCCCAGCCCGAAAGCGAAGAATGATTTTCGTAGAATTGTGGGGAAAAAAAAGCGCACTTTATATGCCGGAAAATAAGGTATACCCTCTTCTTTCTCTTCATTACCTTCCAGATGATACATGTTACCAAACTGTTTTTTTTTCCTGTAGAGAACCCATGTCCCATGATGACCTGGCGGGGGAGGAGGTGCCTGCTAACCCACTTGATACACATTCTCACCCAGGTAATTATCTTCTGGATTATGTTTAACTACTAATTTTAATTAATGAATCTTGCAATATGGAAACATAGTGAGTGGGCGAACTGATCTTTTCGCTTGCCGAATAAGGAAAGCGAATATTTGTGTATTCAATAATTTCGCAGAAATCATTCTAAACCTACCGAAAAAATGTATTTAATTGTGTTTGTTTATTATTAAATTATTGTAAACTTATCTAAAATATATTAAGTTGGATTAGGCTAAATTAAATTTCGCTTGTTATAATAAGGTTAGGTAAGTTTTCTAAGATTCTTATGATACAAAATTATTAATTTTTACATTACCATAAGTGAAAAAAATATACCTTTAAACCCATAACAGAAACTTTTAGAAAGGACTTAATTTTAAATGAGTTCTTGCTGATTGACCAGGTTTATATATATATATATATATATATATATATATATATATATATATATATATATATATATATATATTTATATATATATACGTATATATATATATATATATATATATATATATATATATATATATATATATATATATATATATATATATATATATATATATTATATATATATATATATATATATATATATATATATATATATATATATATATATATATATATATATATATATATATATATATATATATATATATATATATATATATATATATATATATGTCGTGCCGAATATGTAAAACTGATCAATTAGCAAGATCTCATTTAAAATTAAGTCGTTTCTAAAATTTTCTCTTATACATTTAAAGTAAAAATTTATAATTTTGCATCAAAGGAATCTTAGAAAACTTACCTAACCTTATTACAACAAGAACAATTTATTTTAGCCTAACCCAAATAAATATATTTTAGATTTGTTTACAGTAATTTAATACTAAACAAACACAGTGAAAAATATGTTTTTCGTTAGGTTCAGAATGATTTTGGCGAAATTATTGCATACACAATTTTTCGCTTGTCTTACATGGCAAGAAGAGCATTGCTATTTAAGCCAAGATCGCAAGTTCTGCCTATTCGGCACGACATATTATATATATATATATATATATATTATATATATATATATATATATATATATATATATATATATTATATAAGATCACAATAAACAATTGATTTCAGAATATGCAAAACAACCACTGTGAAAGAATAATGAAATTCCAAGCGCTTTCGTGACTACTCACATTATCAAGGAACAATTAAAGTAATGCATCAAAGGAACATATATAAAGGGTCTAGACCTTACCATCACATCCCACAATAAAGCAACACCTGATGCACGACTCATAAGAAAGAAAACACTGCATCAGGCCCACTTGACAGGCCCTTCACGCAACCCACAAACTATTCTACTCAAGAATTAAGATTTTAAGATTTATTATTTATCCAAAGTATTATTAAATTCTTCCCAAGTTCTACTAATTATAAATGAATCTAATTTATATAAACCAAAGGAAATATTCGTATTATTGTCAAAACTGCTTTTTATGAAACAAGATTCAATTATATTCCTGTCGACCACGGAATTGCTTTGATACAACTTTCTCAACTTTTTGAAAATCCATATAGGATGGTTAAAATCTCTTACATGAATAAACAGAGCACTGGAATCTTGTCCAGTTCTCATGCTATATTTATGTTGTTTTAATCTTAGTTCGAGACTTTTACCAGTGTGACCGTTATAAACTTTATCCCAAAATTTACAAGAAATCTTATAGACACATCTGTCAGCATTTTGGGGGAATTCTTTATCAAAATTTTTTTTACTGTATCAAGATTTTTAAGTATTTCTAGTAATTTTAAAAGATTTATCATTTACGTTTCTTGGGTATTTCAGATCATTAGCTATTTCATAAATTTTGGATATTTCCTCATCTATGAACGCTGGACTACAAATACGTAAAGCTCTCAAAAACATTGATGAGAAAACAGACAGTATAGCTCTATCTACATGCGAAGAATAATATTGTACATAGGAACAGTTATTTGTAGGTTTTCTGTAAATTTTAAATTTGAATTCATTAATACCCTTAATAATTAAAACATCTAGAAAAGGCAATGAGTTATTTTCCTCAAACTCAACAGTAAAGTTTATAAAATGGGCTAAGCTATTTAGTATAACAAGGAAATGGTGTATATCTACATTCTTGAGCATAAGACACAAAATATCATCAACATATCTGAACCATTTAGCTCTATTAGGGAGGATTGTGTTTAGCAGCCTTGTTTAAAAAAATCCATGTATAGATTACTAAGAACAGGTGAAAGAGGATTTCTCATTGCCATACCAAACTTCTGAGTGTACAAATTACCATTAAATACAAATTTTGCATCAAAAATGCAAAGTTTAATAAGCTTAATGATAGTTGGGACTGGATGTGGAAAATCATAATTAATGAGTTCTTCAGATAAGAAACTTAATAAATCATCAACAGGAACTTTCGTAAACAAGCAAGTAACATCAAAACTAACAATGTTAAAATCATTTAAGTCGGTCAAGGAGCTTAATTTATCAACTAAATCTATGTTGTTTTTAACATTAAAATTAGAAATTTTGCCAACAATAGGGCTCAAAATGACAACAAGCCATTTGGATAATTTACATGAAACTGATCCTATGGAGTTAATAATTAGTCTGACTGGATTCCCTGGTTTGTGTGTTTTTATTAGTCCATACATGTAAGGTAAAGATGGATTAGTGGAAGTAAATTGTATGATTAATTCATATTTGCCTTTCAGTAGGTTTTATTGTTTTAATGAAATTGCTGTTAACGGTTTCATAGGGATTTTTCCAAGTTTAGAATAGGTTTCAGTGTCATATATATATATATATATATTATATATATATATATATATATATATATATATATATATAATATATATATATATATATATATATATATATATATAATATATATATATAAATATATATATATTATATATATATATATATATATAATATATATATATATATATATATATATATATATATATATATATATATATATATATATATATATATATATATATATGACACTGAATATGGTTTTAACCAATTGATTTTCAAAAAGTTGAGAAAGTAGTATCAAGCAAGTCCATGGTCGACAGGAATATAATTGAATCTTGTTTCATAAAAGCAGTTTTGACAATAATATGAATATTTCCTTTGGTTTATATAAATTAGATCCATTTATAATTAATAGAATTTGGGAAGAATTTAATAATACACTGGACAAATAATTTTTAAATTTTCTTGGGTAGAATAGCTTGGGGGTGAGTTGTGCAAAGGACCTATCCAAGTTGGCTCGCCGCGCGTCACGTGTTTAACCGTTGTGGGATCTGATAGTGAGGTGCTGGCCGGACCCCTTATATAGCTTCCTTGGATGCTTCACTTTCATAGTTCCTTGATAATGTGAGTAGTCACGAAAGCGCTTGGAATTTCTCTATTCTTTCAGAGTGGTTGTTTTGCTATATATATATATATATATATATATATATATATATATATATATATATATATATATATATATTATATATATATAATATATATATATATATATATACATGTATATATATATATATATATGTATATATATATATATATATATATTATATATATATATATATATATATATATATATATATATATAAAATATATTTATATATATATATATATATATATATATGCATTTCTTGGATCATTATTTCAAATCAATCCTTGTAATTATCTCTACATAGCTGCCCAAAATGGTAAACGCATCCATAAATATTTGTTTGGGAAACATGCTCTGATGCTGTTAAGAGCCGCCTTTTCACAACCCATGGTGACTGAAACAGGATTAAGATCTTGTCTCACTTGCTTCAAGGAGTAAAAATCAAGTCATAAGTTGCTTGGTTCTTGTCCCAGGCGATGCAGTATACTATGGGAATTGTATGACTCGTATCCAGCATAACATGAAAGCCTAATGGTGCAGGATCAGAAGTTCCATCAAACAGCCAGTGGTCTTCGAAAGCAAGAAGCTGTAAATTTCTAGGCGTTGATAGAATTATGAGGTTGTCACTTTCATGGATGGTAAAATATTCTCTTCTAATTGATTTCCATAAATCATTAGTTAAATGTCCTCGCCAGGTGCCGTGTGTTGTCTACTCACCATTTTTGCCAGGATTTCCTTTTTAGGAAGAGCACCTGCAGCATCAAGTGGGGACTCACTGGTGAAGTTTTGTATAATAGTCGAAGTCACTTCCTCATACTGTTTAGCTCTTTCTCTGATTTTCTCTACTGTAATCAAAGACAAATTGCATCCAACATCAGGAGGATGTCAATGATTACTTGCTTCTCCTTGAATAACTTCGTCTTCTGTTTTCAGTCGCTCTCCACGCCTTCTTTTGCCTTCACATCACCAATATGTTACAGTGTCTTAGTTTTTTTATCAACGATGTAGGTGCAGCCATCAAGCAATAGTTTTCTTCCTCCTCTTGTTGGTATGAATTCCATGATCTTAATTAAGAAAAACAAAGATTGTATTCAACAAACATGAACTTATGAAAAAACTTTCCAATTTTCAGTTCTTAAGTTTATTTTTCGATCAAATGTCAATTCGGTCGATGAAATGTCCGTTCTGTGAAATGTCCGTTAGGCCAAATGTCCGTCGGTGAAGTGTCTGCAGGCCAAATGTCCGTCGGCCATGTGTCCAGGCATGTTACCTGTCATGATGTTATCTAACCTGTTAACTACACCTGTCATGATGTTATCTAACCTGTTAACTACAACATCCACACCTGCTCAAGGGAAGCCCCTTCCCCTCCATCATCCTCTGTCTTGCCGTCTTATTCCTGTTACAAAATGTTCGAGTTTGAGATTTTCCAATATTAAGTATGTCATTTTCTTCACATGTTGAGGCAATCATCCTAAATTTCTCCTTGTCAATAGATGCACTTTTCCAAAACGATTTCTGTTCATCAACCCAACTTCAACCTT